CAAGTATGGACTAAAACCTCCACAAACTGTAAGTGAAATAAACCTTTCCTTCCTTAATTTTGGGCATCAGGTATTTTGTCCCAGCAATGAGAGGATAGTAACCAAGACACTCACAAATTGGGAAAAAATTTTAGCCAACTGTCCCTCAGACAGAGGACTCCTGTCTAGAACATATACAGAATTTTAAAAAGGGGCTGGGGATTTAGCTCAGCAGCAAAGTGCCTGCCTGGCAGGCACAAGGTCATAAATTCAATTCCTGGTACTGGAAGAAAGGACAAAAAAAAAAGAATTAAAAAAAAACGGGTCCCCAAAATTCAAAGACCCAATACAAAAATGGGCCTCTAAGATGAATACACACTTCTTACATGAAGAAATACTAATGGCAAATAAATACATGAAAAAATGTTCAACATCATTAATCATTTGAGAAGTACAAATTAAAACCACACTGAGATTCCATCTCACCCCAGAGAGAATGGCTGTCATCAAGAAATCAACAAATGCTGGATAGGCTGTGGGAAAAAGGAACCCTTCTCCACTGTTGGTGGGAGTGTGAACTGGTGCAACCACTGTGGAAATCAGTCTGGAGATTCCTCAGTAAGCTAGGATTAGAAGTCCCATTCAACTTGGCTATTCCCCACCTGGGTATTTTTCCAGAAGAGCTGAAATCATCACACCACCCATGTTTATAGCAGCACAATTTGTAATAGCTAAATCTTGGAAACAACCCAAATATCCATCAACTGAGGAAGGGATAAACAAGATGTGGTATTTTTTATACAATGGAGTAATATTCATCTATAAAGAAAGATAAACTACAGGTTTTTATAGGTAAATGGATGCAACTAGAGACCATACTCATAAGTGAAATAAATCAGACTCACATGTGCAAACATTGTATTTCCTCCCTACTCTAAGAACCTGAAAAAGTAAATAAAACCTGAAAGGTACAATAGATATTGTGAAAGGGAAAAGAAACTGCTCAAATAGGAAGGAGAAACTGGAATGAAGGAGGAGAGAGGAAAAAGAAAGACAGAAGAGGAAGAAAATATGTACATGTATACACAGGATAGCTTGAATAACTGTACTACTAATATCTGTTGGTTTATTGAAAGGAACTATTAATGTGTAATTGATCAGTCTTACATGCCTATGTCTGGTTATATGTGCAACCATTTTGAAGATGACATTATGTAATATAGCAACTGTTGTTAATATCCTATCACCATGTTTTGAAATTCTGTATCATTTTTATTGTTCTCTATGCTGTTTTGTCTATGGATTTGTTTGTTATTTGGGTTTTTTTTTTTCTTTTCTCTTTAAAATGAAAAACAAAATTTATATGTATATACAAGGATAGTTGGGATAGGTGTATTGCTGACGTCTATAGCTTATGAAAAGGAACAGTCAATGCTTAAAATTTTCTTTTTTCTTGACCAATTTTGCATGCCTGAATCTGGTAATCAGAATGACTGATCTGAAATCAGCAATATGTCATATAAGAATGATTGTTGAACTCCTACCATCTTGTATGGTGAAGCTCTGCATCATCTGCAATGTTTTTATTATTATTACTTGTTACTGTCTTTGTTTGATCAGTCTTACATTCTTACATCTGGTGGACTGAGCAACTTGGCAGAAGATAACAGTATGTCATGTAGCAACCACTGTCACCTCCTATCATTTTGTTTTGAGGTCATGCATCGTTTTTGTTGTTTTTGTGTTCTTTTGGCTTGTCTTCATTGTTGTTTTGTTAGTTTTTTTAATCTTTAAAATAAAAAAAGAATGGAGTGATGGTAATAGTTAGAAAAAAGTTTAAACACTTACTAGAAGAAAACAAAAATTGCCTTGAAGAGATTGTTGGTAGAAATATGGGCATTAAAGGAGAGTCTGGTAATGTCTCAAGAAGAAGTGACAAGAACTGCAGTTGTTGTCATAAGGAATCTGTGTATTATCGTGATCAGATGTTGATAGAACATAAATATCAAAGGTGTTCCTGGAGAAGACCAGAAGGCAGAGATAACATGTTCTTCATCCCCGGAGGGAAGGTAAACCTTGTGAAACGGTGTCAGGAACTTGGCTGAATTACAATCTGCTGTCAAATGAAAGCAGCGCTTACAAGTGATAAACCTCGGTACTTGGCAGAGGTCTCTTTTTCTTTTTTTTTAATTTGAGGAGACTGCCAAAGTGTGGAAGGTGTGGCCTGAGTTTCTTTTGCTGTTTACAGTAAGATAGGACAGGAAAGACATAAATGGAGCTAGAAACTATTAAGCAAAAAGGAAAGGCGACACTAGGTTTTGAAAATTCCCAGAGAGCAAAACTGTGAGAGGCCTACTCTAGGGAGAAGACCAGCCTTTTGCTGTTGAGACGAGGTTTGTGAGTGGATGAGGCTTCCAACCAATCTTCTTCAAAGAAGCGGAAACACTTCTCAGTGTTCTCAGAGTTCATTCAGACAGTGCTGCGTGGGTCCTCTTGTCAGCTGGCTTGGCCCACAGCGTGCTGCCGAGAGCAACAGGGCCTTTGTGACTATTACATCAGCAGAAATGCTGGCAGCCTGAGGTGAGAGGGACAGAGATGAGACCAAAAGGCTTTCAGACATCCAAAATTCTTTCTGGCTGCAGGACCCTTTGAGAGAAGGCAGGAATGATGCTGTCATGGGCTGCAGATGTGTCAGTCTAAAATCCATCTGTTGAGTATCTCAGAATGTGACTATACTTGGACACAAGGCCTTTGAAAGACTCAAGCTAACATCCCGTCAGTGTGCCCTAATCCAGTGTGGCTGGTGATCTGCAAAAAAGAGGAGATTAGACAGAGACACCAAGAACACAGACCACGTGAAGATACAAGAAGCGTCAGTCATCTGCAACCCAAGGAGAGAGGCTTCCTAGGAAACCAACTCTCCCACCACCTTGATCTCAGAGCCTCTAGAATTAAAAAAATAAATAAACTACTGCTACGCTAGCCATCCAGTCTGTGGTTTGCTAGGGAAGCTCTAGCAAAGTAATGCAACTGTGAGCATAGTTTAAAGGGCAAGGCAAGCACTGACAGTACAGCCTCTATAGACCAGAGATCAGAAGGATCACAGTTCTGAGATACAAGTGCTAACTACCAGGCTGAGATGTAGTAGAATTTGTTCTACTGCATTTGAAATTGCTTGGAATAACTGACCCTTTCTTCCTTCCATTTTCTCCCTTTCAAGAAGAAAATAGTTCACCCATACCATCCTATTTTAGGAGCAGATCATTTGTTTTCTAGTTTTACTGATGGAAAGAAATTTTCCCAAGGATAAATCTTTACACATACCTAATTAAAATGATTCATGTGATGTTATCTGGAACCCCTTGAGTCAATAATATTTAGATGAGATTTGGGACTTAGAAGTGAAGCTGAATTAAGACATTTGGAATCTGTTAAGAATATTGAGATAACAAGAATGTATTGTGCATCTGGGGAAGAAATGAATTTGGGGGGCCAGATAGTGGAATGCCATGGAATTGTGGCCTCCAAAAAGATATGTTCAAGTTCCAACCTGTGGTCTTGTGAAGGTAACTGACTTGAAAATGGGTCTTTGCAGGTATAATCTTGTTAAGTTGAGGTCACATTAGATTACAGTGGATTCAAAATCCAATGGCAAGTGTCGTTACAGGAAGAGAAAAGTACGCACAGAGATCAAGAGAAGCAACACAAAGAAAAAAGGCCCTTGGAAGATATTAGCAGAGATGAATGAGATCCAGCTACAAGCCAGGGAGCACTAGGATTTGGGGAGCCACCAGAAGCCAGGGAGAGACAGGCACTCTTTCCGAAAGCATCTGTAAGGACCATGTGCCTGGTGACACCTTGAACTCAGGCGTTGAGCCTTCAGAGCCTCAAGAAAATAAATTTCTGTTGTTTTAAGTGCCTCAGTTTGTGGCAATTTGTTATGGCAACCTTAGGAAACTGAAGCACACCTCTCAAAATTCTGCAGACCCATAGGATTGGTATTGCTCTAAGCCAGTATAACCCCTCCACTTATCCTTAAACTTTTAGTTGACAAATAACTTCATACCTTTGTATTGCATACAAGGTAATGTACTGAAATACACTAATACATTTCTTGGCGATGTGTACCTTGTCTCAGAAGGGTGTCATGTTATTTTATCATAGCACAAAGAGAGGAGGGACTCACAAACTAAGATGGGCACCATACCACTAAGGAATATGATCTTTGGAACCACTGTTGTATACGTGGTCCATCACTGACCTGAATGTCATTGTGCAGTGCATGACTGTACGTGTATGTTAGGAAAGGGCTAGATCTAGCTAATGAATTGATCCATGATCCAATGTTGAGACTGTGGGTGTGAGTGCTACACTTGCCCCTTGGGAGGGTAGTTTACATTTGTAAAGGAGAGAAAGAGGCTGCTTGCAGCCACTCCTCCATTTTGCTCTTGTTGCTTTTGCTATCTTCCACACCATGAATGGTTGCCCTATGCCATGTGCCACTCTGCCTTGGAACCAGCTGAGCATGAACTGAAACTTCCACAGACTGTGAGCTAAATAAACCTTTCCTTCCTTAGTTTTGGGCAGCAGGTATTTTGTCCCAGCAACAAAAGAAAAGTAACCAAGACATCCTCCACTATCCTTCTCCCTTTATTTCTTCTCTTCCTCCCTTTGTAGAACTTTGCTTCTGCCTTTTCAATCTTCTTTTATTCCTTTCTTCCAATACTTTTTCAAAAAGGTCTTTGATACTCCCATTCCTGATTAAAACCTATTTTCTGGTTCTGTTGCCTATGGTTCCTGCACTGGGTAGGAAGAACACAGCTCCTCACTCCACTGAAGTCAGTGTTCCTACGACTTACTTTCATCAATGAAATGCAGATAGAGATGTCATATATCACACCCAGGCAGCCTTAAGAACCAAACATAATTTTCCATATCTTTTTCTTCTCTCAAAAGAACTATTCTGTCAAACTGGATCCCAAAGTAAAGACATGTAATAAAATTGCAGTGGATCTGTAACAAAGAAGTAGAATGAGTAAAGCAAAATAACAACAACAATGAAAACCTTTATTGTAATAAGTCTCTGGTACTTTGGCATTCTCTGTTATTGCAGCATCACATACCCTGATACTTCCTACACTTCCTCAGCATCAACAGAAAAGCTCTCTAGAGCTCTCTCTGCCTAATGTACAAAGGTTAAACTGCTTAGTCTGACATCTAAAATGCACCAAGTCCTAATCTGTCTTTAACTGTTTTATTTTTATTTCTTTTGTTTTGAAGAACATTATATAAGTGCTTAATTACATTAACCACATTTTATTTAACAAAGTATTGTGCACATATTGATATTCTCTTACTTGTTGATTGTCTGCTGTGTGACAAACTTCTGCCCAAGACCTAACAGAAAGTATGACTTGTCCCGTAGGAGGGTTGAGCTGGGACAGGATGGCTACAGCAAACTCCCACAAAAGCTCATAGTCAGATATTGACCTAGGGGTTGATATCCAAGGCTGAACTGAGAAACTTAAGATGGTTCAGTGCCAGGATACTTGGAGAGACTGTACAGGCAGAGGTCAGTACCTAAGCTCGAGGTAACCCATGAGTGTCACCTTCCAAAGCAAAACCCATAAAGAATCAAATATCAAGGGTTTAAAGACACAATGGGATTTTATGGACTGAGTTGTTTTCCCCCAAAAAAAACTCATACATTGAATCTTTAATGCCCAGTGTAACTTTTTGGAGACAGGGCCTTTAAAGAGAAAATTAAGATTAAATGAGATCATAAGGTTAACGCCTAATTCAACAAAGATGCCAGAGTCACACATGGGAGCACACAGTGAAAAGGTAGCCATCTGCCAGGAGCAAGAGGAACCTCAGAGAAACCAAACCTTGGCGTTCCAGCTCCAGAGCTCTAGTTTGAACTACCCAGTTTGTGGTATTGTGTTGTGGGAGTCCTAGCAAACTATTATGTGGGGTATGCAAAAAAGAGGGTCCTACAGGCCAGGTCCCCACACCCCAATATTGCTACAGACATTCTGTTTTACCTGCAGATCCATTCGTCTAAACTCACCTCCTACCTGAGGCACTTGAGATCTCCGAGGGAGTCCTGCCTCCCTCTGACAGCAAGACCATGTCTTGTCTCTGAGACTCCTACCAGGTGGGAGTTGCGCTATTTCTCTCCTATCACGCAGGGACTTGTGCTGGCTGTAACAAAGAGGGTCAGTGCCTAAGGACCAAGGGCAGTCATCCGTCCACATCCACAAAGGAATCAGTGTGGAACCCCAGGGGAACTCACCTAACCATGCTTAAGTCCCTTCTGTAACATGGCACAGTAATGCATGTAATCTGTATGTATATGTGTAAACCATCCCTAGATTACTTATCAAACATGATACAATATAAATGCCAGGTAAATAGTTGCTGTATTGAATTGTTTAAGAAACAACGATAAGAACACCCAGTTAAGTACCATTGTAATTTTTTTCAAATATTTTTGATCTATGGTCCATAGGCTCTGGGGATACAGAACTCACAGACATGGAGGACTGATGAAATAATGTCTTCTGGTCCCTCCCCTGGTTTAGGGGTTCTTCACTTCATAAAAGCCCTGAAGGAGAGCAGCAGTGAAGGACTGGTTGCTAGATGGGCTTAAGGTGTTTACGCACAGTTTTCCTCAAATTCTCAAAGGAAACCTCAGCACTAAAAGGTTAAAAAGAATGCTACAGCTTAGAATACTCTACTCTGACAGTGTGGATATGGGGGTGAGTTCATAGGAATGAATTCTTCATTAAAATTCTCCCATTACATTTAAAGATTGTATTAATTTTCTAAATCTGAACTACAGCTCCATCTGGGAGGGAGCTATTGTTACAGGTTTATTGTTCTCAGATTCTTGAGTTGTGAACTATTTTCGAAATCACAGATTCAGAAACAATAAAAGTTTGGGTACCCGCCAGTGAGCAATCCTAAAATAAAGCCATACTAAAAGACTTTCAGTTTTTACTATTCATTTTTTCTCTTACCTAGTTATAAATAATACAGTGGATCTTTGTAACCACTTTGAGGATTAAGAAAACCTCCTGGAAAGCTGAAAGTGAAAAATTATCAAGTTTTGCTCTGTACAAATGAACTCTACATACATATGTACATTTATGACATGAATCTAGCTTACCTTAACAAAATTATTTTTGTTAAACAGATATTTATAAGAAATTTTCTGTTATCATTTCATAGAAATATGTGAACTTTAGTATTGGAAAAAAATATTTGACTTGGTCAAACATTTTTTCTATAGCTCTCTAGCTGAAGTTACATTTTCACTGAATTGATGTTATTACCTGAATTCAACCTCAAAAAGCCATCTTAAATAAATGGGAAATGCTAGTTGAAGTCAGAAGTTAATATTTTGGGTCCCTGGGAAAATCTTTTGTCCAGCTTCAACAAAAAATGTTTTTCCTACCTACCCTCCAGTGTCCTCACCTCCCCCAGGGCCCACACTTCTGACACCATGTGAGACCAGGGAAAAGCAAGACAAACAGTCCCACCCCTTCATCCTTCCTCCAAGGAGACCGCTCACGTGGTAGACCTTGGCTAAGGAAAAACATCCCATTGTCAGAGCCACGGGCACGTCACAGCCTTTCATCCTGTCCCTGGAAATGCAGTTTGGAGTAAGTAATCCTGATCTTCAATGTTGAGATTGTTCCCAGCTGCACTGCGACTTGTTTTTTGGTTCCCAGGCAAACTGCCCAGTTTCCTCTGCTCCCAAATTCCCCCAAATGCAAAATAGAGATAATTCTTGTAAACCTTTCTCTTGGAGAGTTCTGATAATAAATAAGGCAAATGTTTCTAAGGTGCTTTGAGAGATTTGGCAGAGGGCATATTTACCTAAAATGATAGTCAGGGTTTTGATTAGTTTTTGCTTTGTCTTGTGTTGCTTTTACTAGTTTGTTTTGCTTTTGCTAGACTTCAGCACACATTTGGAAAATCTAAACTAAGCTAAATTAGCGCTATTGATCCAAAGTTACTGGAGCATTTACAGCAAGCAGAGCACTTAGGCATCTAGAGAACAGAAAGGACCTACATCCTGTACCTTCAAGAAACTCAAGAGCTTGCTCAGAAAGAGGTGCTACAGCTGAGTGACATACAAGTGTGACCATCCACCGAGGTATCTGGCTTGGAATCCCACCACACTAGTTATAGTTGGAGACTGTGGAAAAACTGCTCAGCCTTACCAAGCTTTTACATCCTCTTATACAAACCACTGTAGCTAATAATGTTTATTGAGTGCCTACTAGGTAGCCAAGGGTATTCTGTGCAGTTTCTTGTTTTAAATTACTTAACACTCACAAAAACTGCCCATTATTACCGTTTCCATGTTTGAAGTCCCGTCTTATAGGCAAGGACATGGAAGCTTAAATCATAAAACTTGCCTCAGGTCATAGAGTTTGGAAGTGGGAGAGCCACTGGGTAAATCCAGCCTGCTTGGCCTGCAGTCCTGCAGACTTCACCAGGGTGCTACACCGTCCCTCCGCTGGAAACACAGCGCGCTTTACCTCTTATAGACCAGGGAGGATCAACTGATGCAATGCATGTAAAGCTGCCGGCATGGCATCTGACACATAATAAATGGCATTAAGCACAGAAGAGATGATATAAGTAACAAGCATGCCTTGTCAAAAATAAGCACGCACCTCCAGTCTGTTTCCCAGGAGAATTCCTTGCTATGGACTGAACCTCAAGCCTGCTTTATGGCAGGAAGCTGTGTTAGGGGGACATCAGTCTAAGAACTGCAGCATCCCTGAAGGAGCAGACAAGGGGCCCGTACGAACCTACACTTCCAGAGCTCACTCGTAGAAATGTTCAAGTAGCTGCAGTACCCTGCTCTAAAACCCTGGCTGCATCTCTGAGAACAATTTCCCATCGAGCAACATAAAAAATGCATCTGGGGCCGTTATCCTTCTCTTCTTTAACCTCTACTCCCCAAGTGCCTGTAAGAAGAAACAACAGCATGAAGTTTCCCTTCAAAGTCTTAAAATAAAAATCCCACCCCACAAAGGGATCTCGCTTATAAAATCTCTCAGAGCCGTTTGAAAAAGAAAAACTGCATAAGGAGCCAACTGCTTATATTCTGGCCAAGTTACGAGGCTGGGAGAACAAGAGTGTGAGGGGAGGGCTGTTAACTCCCTGCGCGCCAGCAGGATTGGATCTCCCTTGCCTTCGGGTTTGCTCTGCCGGCAGAGCTCGCAGTACCCTCCCGGGAGAGACCAGTCTGCTGCAGAGAGCCAAGAATTTGCAGCAAAATCGAGAGCAGTCTGCAGTGCTCGGCGGGGCCGATATCCACAGTCTCGTCTGTCACTTCAGACCCTGACAGGGCAGGAGAATTTCACCGCCAGTGGGCTCGACTGCCCTGGGCAAAGAAGCAGAGGCATCGAGAGAAGGGATTTAAAGAGTTGCTCCTGAGCATTTGTCAAACTTATTTCCTGGCTGTGTGCAAAGAGATCCAACTTCTACTATCTACGGAGGCTCTGGGTCCAGCCACCCACCTGAAGGTAAAAATTGGAACAGATATGCTATACTGTGTAATTGCATTTGTTAAGCTGATCTGCATAATCTGGAAAAACTTTAATATTTTCACCTAAAAAATACCAAGCCATGTACTTACAAAAAGAAAAACAGCTTTCATGCCTTACAGGAAAGCTACTTAGTAGGGAATTTCACTATTTGTATTCATATTTCTTCTTTTCTCCTTCAAGGTTTATTAGCAAATATTAGTAAATGACAGTTTTAGGAAAGACCAAGAGTAGAAATTGAGAACTATTGGTAGCCTGGTAGCACTGGGATCTTGGGGAAGCCTGAATCCTGAAATGGGTTTTATAGAAACAATGTACTAATAAATACATGAATAAACCATAAAGAAACTAGTTTTTTAAAACTTCTAATCAAATAATTTACATGTTTTCCATGTTTAAATTATCTGAAGTTCTTCATCATCATAAGTCCATTTTGTACTTAAAAGCACCATACAACTGGAACATTTTGCTTTTCTAAAAGGTTTGAAAAATCTCTCAGATACTAGATAATTTGCTATTTCTAAGTTATTTTAAGTTATGTCTTCCCTCATTCTCTTTTATAGCATTATAAATAATTGGGTTTTACTCCATACTATCATTTGTTAAGATAACCACCAGACACAAAATTTCTCTAATTCCTAATGATGTCTTACAAAGAAAAGCAAAAAGGGGGCAGGAGAATTAAAGAGCTAAGGAGAATTTGTTACTCTTTTTCCGTGACGGTACTGTCATCTCTGCCCTCTGTCCTATCCTATGGCAATAATGCTCACTCATCCCTCCAGGTAGTAAACCCTGTTTCCCGCTGCAGATTTATCCTGTTGAAAGTGCACACCCTGAGGCAAACAGGAGGAACGGCTCCCTGGCACTGCTTTCATCTGCAAAGAGGTGAACGGTGTCACCTTGGCCTTGCCTCTGCACTCTCCTCTGGCCCTGGGCCTCAGCACACTGAACAGAGATGCTCATTCAGTCCAGCTCAGCAAAATCTTTTCTTAAAATATTCTCCCTGTTCTCACGGATACCAGCTTTTTCCACTCACAGCTCGCTCAGTTGTATCTTGATGATTATAACTATGGTTAATGCTGACTACGTTAGAAAGACATCCTTCTGGGACAGATACAAGTGTATGTGTCCGATCATGCAACAAAATCCAGCCAAGCAGAGGAGTCTGTTTCATTTGCTTATCATCCAATCAGGTAATGTTGGTTTCCACGATTTGGAAAGGAACATAGATGTTACTCATGAACCTTGCCTTGTTCTTTCAGACTTTCTCGCCACAGAGCAATTAGAACGCTGGGGATTCTTTTGCTTTGGCCCTTAGGATTTAACCCCTAAAATCTTCTCATTGCAGTTTCACATGTCAACTAAGGAAAAATAATGAAGAATGATGACAGAAATGAAACTGCACAGTGATCTATCTGGGAAACTCACTTCATTTCCTCTTGACTATTATTGTTATTTAATCGACCTTACATGAACATTGCTATGTTAGTTAAGTTCTGCACCATGCCCAATCCATTCTGGGTACATTTGTTTATCAAGAACATAATCCACTTGTTAAGAGACTTGGAGTGTGTTTTCCTGTCACATATCACTCTAAGACGCCCTAGGTCCAGGATGACAGGCTTATTAAGAGGCACATGCCCAGCAGGACCCCAGTCTGGCTCTTATGGGTCATGTGGGGCGTCTTCCTTCTTCCAAGAGCTAGCCTGGCTTTGTCAGAGGCACTGACAGATGGCCAGAACTCTGGAAGACAGAGCATGTGGTCTTGACTGATTGCTCCAAAGGTATAGAGCTAGTCCATAAAGTAAGACCATGGGCTCCGGTTTGTACGTGACTACGGAAATCCGGCTTATACCCGAACTTTGCCATGAAATAGCTCTCAGACTTCGGGCAGATGACTTCACCTCTCTGTGCTTCAATCCCTCTTCTGTAGAGTAGGGATCTTAAAATGAGTAGCTACTCCAGACCTTGGATGTGAGAGTAAAGTAAAGGCAGCAGCTGTGCCCGGGACCTAGTAACTAAGCAGTTAATCACAGCTAATACAGAGGTATTGGCCTAGCTGTGTCCCTACTGAAACTCACGTATTTCGCTCCACAATAAACGTCAACGGCAAGCTGAGGCCTCCGAGCCAGCCCAGCAGAGTGGGCAGGACAGGGGCTCCCGAGGCCAGCACCATGGCTGGAACCAGACCCTGCCTCCATGAGCCTGGGCAGTCACTTCACATTTCCAGGCCTCAGTTTATCCACCTACACAGCAGAATGGGCAACCTGATACCCTCGGATGAGGTTATTGTAAGAATCAAGTGAGCTATACTTGAAGTATAGCATAGTGCCCGGTAAAATACTTGACACGCAGGAAATTTTATTGGTTGCAGTGGGAATGATGTCTCTGGTAGTAAAATGGGAGCCCAGGAAAAAAAAATTCTTTGAGGTGTTGTCCTTTTAATCCAAAGAAATGTAAAGATAAACCTGCCCCCATTTCCCCTGGAGCCCTCCGCAGGAGGTGTTTGTTACAGAAGCCTTTATTGGTCCTTCAATTAGCAGCTCCCTAAGGGCCAAGTCAAATGAAACCAGGGAGCTTTCTGCCAGCCCGCAGGAGGCCCCGGGAGCCAGGCTGCCCTGCGGTGGCTCCTGCTTTATTAGCCTACTTGGACAGGGGAGAAGACCCCCAGCATTTTCTCTTTCAGAGCTTTTCTGAAGGCAAGAATAGGGGTTTTGACTTCCTCTAGGGGATATTTTTGCCTCTCTCGCTGAAATTCAAAGGAAAGGAGTTGTTTGTGTTTTTTGTTTTTTGTCAAGCTCGCCCCTGTGTTCCTAGCATTGAGATGTCAGCTGTTTTTCCTGGATGCGGAGCAGGGGCAGCCTGTCGTCATAGCGATGAAAAGGCGCGGAGCGACTGGGCGTCATGACCGGCTCTGTGAAATAGCTCTGAGTCGGCTTCAAAATCCTTCTTTAGAAATGAAGTCTCCAGCCCTGGCTTCTCTCCTGCCTATTATGCAACCAACTTATGTACACTAGTTGCAGTAGCTAAATGTTTCCTTTAAAGATTCAGTGAATAGGAATTGAGAAAATGAGCAAGAAAACCACTAAAACAGTGGCCAGTCTACTGGGAAAAATCACTGAGAAAACAGAGGGGGACGAATAGAAATGATCGCACTTAGCAGCACATCAATAACACCCGACGGTCAGCTGGCTTCCCAGGTTCTCCCTGCTGCCTCCGTCGCCGTGGTGTGCCGCCCGGGAACGCTTCTTCTCCAGTTTTGTAACCTTACCTACTCTGGGCCTCTGTCTTCTCATCTGTCAAGTAGAGGTGACAACAGACATAAAATTATCATAGGAGCTGAGTGAGACGCTGCAGGCTGGCTGCTAAACTCAAGAGCCTCAGCTTCCCCCACTTGTGAAGTGGAGGTAACAGCTAACTCCTGGGGTCACGGTAGAATCAATGAAATGCCAAGTGAGGGTGTTTAGGAGATAACAGTTATTACAGTTCTCATGGTTAGGTGTCATTCCCGTAAGAATGGCTTTTGGGAACCTGGTGAGTAAATTGTAACAGTGACCCCAGAAATATCTTTAGCATAAATGTGAACCATTTATTTTGCAAAGAGAAACATTGCATACATTTCTGAAGCGGAACAGAGATTCTTCTCACCTTGATTAACGCTAGGGCTGAAGATATTAAAACATCTTACCTCTCATGAAAATGCTTTCTGTTGAAGTGTCTGCTTTGGTTTCTCCAGTTTTCTAGGTCATGCAATTATGTAAATAAGGAGTATTTTTATCTGATGTCGCAAACAACGAATGTATCCAGTGTTCCACTTCCTGTGAAATGCCACAGATGTAACAGGAAGTCAGGCTGGAGAGTGGCTGTGTTCTTGTGGCACTCACTGTCCTTAGGGAGACAGTCATTACTCAGATCATCACCATAGTGAAAACTGTGCATGTGACCTTGACTACAAAGACATCATTTTCGTTGGTTTGGTGAAAAGTTTTTGCCAACCCACATGTACAAATGGAGAGTGTATTGTAATATGTACGCAAGTCACTTAACCTATGGTCACACATACATATTGAAAATCTCATTTTATCGTCAATATTTTACCTTCATAAAAATGATTGCATTCTCACATTTCATGAAACAAGTTTTTAAATCCCTTCCTACGCACCTTTAGCATCAGTGTCTGTGAGTGCCGGGTCCACTCTAATTATCTAATCCTGGGCACGTCACCAACACTTCTGCAAGTTCTTTCTAACACATCTTTAAAAAGTGCGCAGGTGCCACATGAGTCCTCATTCTGAGGCAATGCTCCCCACATTTTAATTCCTTATGACTTCACTCTCTGCAGTGCTCTTCAAAAGGCTTACGGAAAGTCGCTGGAATCCCCAACTGTGGTTTTCCTAAGATTGTGTCATTTCAACCCTTGGATAGTGAAGTCATACTTGAGAGGAAAGGCTCGATCTGCTTGAAATATCTTTGCCTCCTTTATCATCCAGTCTGTCAGGGTGACCTTGTAAAGAACAAAAACAAGCATTGCTTGAGATCATTGCAGATTGTTTTCCTGAATGGCAGGTTTTTGTTCAAAATGAGCAAATTGAGACAATGGCCTTTAATGTGTGATATGTTAGAAGCGCTAGGGTATACAACCAGTCCCAAGTAACACGATTGTGCGGGGAGGGGAAGGTGAAAATATTCATGTTATATGCAAACATATGCTGTTATAGTTCTATGCTAGGATTAGTATCATGAGGACCAAGTACCCAGGCTTTTACAGAGTATATAAGAAACCCAACCTCCTCCTGAGATCAGTGGTAACTTTCTCTGATCTGAAGGCTGAATGGAGGTTGACTCTGGGAGGAAGACATTGAGAGAAATGCACAATGGCAAAGAAGTCCTTGAGTATGAGCGTGTTGTGCAAAAAGAGGTGGAGTGGGAAGGATCATGCTCTATTTGACAGACCAACAGATGGGTCCTCTGAGAGTGAGAATAGGGCAGTAGGAGATGTAGATCCTAAGTGACTCCCCATAAAACCTCCTTCCCTGACCACTAAATATACACACTCTGCTTGGGTCAGGTTGAAGGTGCATCTTCAACGTCTCTGTGGAATTCGCTTAGACTCAAATCCCTGGTAGGCATGAGCTGTGTCTCTCTGTAGCTAAGACACACACGGTGGTAAGTTTGGTAGGAAGGACGATGGGCTGATGGATGCCAGGGGTCCAGAGCAGCCTGCCCGCTGCATCTGAGTCTGCCATTTTCACTCCCAGCACAGGGACACCTGATGACTCAGGAGTGACTCAGCAGAGAACTCAAAATAGAAGAGCTCTGTTTCCCCTTCAGATGACTTTAACGCCAAGCCATAGAGCTCTCCCCAGAGACTCATTAATACTTTAAGAGCTCTAAAGCATGACTGATAACTCTGGATCAGGTAACAGCATGCATTTGGTAACCAATCCCTGACCAAGGGAGTTGTTCCCTGATAACAAAGCTTTTGACTATCACGGAAAGACAGGAGAAGAGGAAGTTCTGTGTGAGTCTGATTGTGCAGGACCTATAGTAATCATTTTGTTTATTACCTTTCCCAGAAAGGAAATTTTTCATAGTTACAAAAATTACTGGCTTACCCTGATGTACATGAATTCGACAGAAGCTACCTGGCCTTATTTGGAAGTGTGGATGTATGTATTCCAGGAAATGACATGCCAATAAGAAGGAGAAAAGGAACACAGCAGGGAGAACAGTCAAGGCAAACGTCTCCGTATTGGGGAGTACATAGTATGTCCTTCTCAGGTCATTTGATTTTAGGTAAAAGGAGATGCACAGATCAAGTAGTCAGCATCTGCCTGGAAAACCAAGAGCACTGACACAGGGTCCTGGGTCTGGAAGGACCTGTGGCTGCCCATGAGAGTCCTATGGCTGCCCATGGAGGAGCCCACAACTCACGGTCCAGCTACCCGGGGTACTGTAGGCAACACAAGCGTAACATCAGTGCTGAACTCTGCAATGCATCATTGCTGCGGCCAGTGGAAAGGAATATTCCTTTCAGAGGGGCAGGTGACTGTGCACACGCTGGCCGTGAGTGCTGAGGAGAAAGGAAAGAGAGGGAGGCAAGAAAGAGACAAGAACAGAAGGAAAACCAGCCGGTTATGCTCAGTGGGTTTACATGGCAAGGCAAGGTGCAGACGTTCCAAAGCAAAATTTCTCTTTTAAAATTTATGTTCCAAATTAACAAATTAGTGTTTAAAACACAATAACTGAAAAGAAGCCAAATACAAAAATCTACTCTCGGGGCTGGGGATTTAGCTCAGCGGCAAAAGCGCCTGCCTGGCAAGCGCAAGGTCGTGAGTTCGGTTCCCAGTACTGGAGAAAAACCAAAAAAAAAAAAAAGAGAATCTGGCACTGTCTGTTGACATTTTGGGCTGTCACGTTGCAATTGCACTAACAATTCTGATAAACAGAGGTCAGAGATGCTGCTAACCACTGT